GTTTGTCATCTACGGCCGAAGGCATCCTACTCGACAGAATATCCTCTTCACATGCGCCTGAATCATCGTACCGAGTATAACGTCACATCCAACCACCGCATTTAATGCGACCACATGCAGGTGCCGGTGCCACTCGGTTGAGGTGACCCCTCGACTGTTAGATTATTGACACGTGTACTCTCATCGCATTTATTGCTGCTATAAATAGCAGCCCACTTCCCCATTGTAAATCATCATAAGTTCACATAACGAATACTCACACTCTCTCTTACTATTGCTCTGACTTCTCTCTAGTTATTCCTCACAATAACCCCTCGGATAAGCTACCCCTCGGGTACACTATCCATCAAGTATCTTTAGAAATCGGATCAAATAGTGCATCAAGTCTACCTACCAAAACACAAAATCAACCTCAAGAAGAAATAAATTAAAGAAACTAGGGAGAACAAGGCTTGATAGAGATTGAAAGTTTCTCACATCTTATTCATGTATGTAAATGGCTACACTATTTATAGGAAAAACCAAATAACTCAACATTAATGTCTAGTAAAAAGATCGAAACACTAGGGAGAGCACAAAGTGCTTTTATTCTTATACTAAATGCTGAAATTATGATTGGTAATTCAAATATGCAATTACTAATTGTAATGGCCATGCATGATTAATTCCAACAGCCCCCCTAATCCTGACATGGCCCAAAGTCTCGTGTACCCAATAGTTGACGCTGCACTGCAAACTTAATACTATCTACTAGGTAAAGCTTTTGTTAGTGTATCAGCTCGTTGCTCTTCAGTGCGAATGAACTCCACAACGATATGTCCTGCTTCAATGCATTCTCGAATAAAATGGTACCTCGTATCAATGTGTTTGCTACGTGAGTGAAGCACATGATTCTTTATCAGTGCAATGGCAGATTTGTTATCAACAAATAATTTAACTGGCTTCAACTCTTACTTTAGTTAGCTCTCCTAACAGACTCTTCAACCATTATGCTTGGCATGCTGCAGCCGATGCCGCCATAAATTCGGCCTCACAGGATGACAAAGCGACAATTTTCTGTTTATGAGTGTTCCAGGACACAAGACTGCTATTAATATAAAATGCCATGCCTCCGGTGCTTTTTCTGTCAGTCACATCGCCCGCAAAGTCGTTATCCGTGTAGCCACTTATCACTTCTCCATTTCCTTCTTTCCCATACACAAGGCCAAAATTCAGGGTTCCTTTTAGATAACGCAAACTTTGTTTTACTACCTTATAATGCATGATGGTAGGTCTTTCCAGAAATCTACTTGCCATGTTGATAGAAAATGATAAGTCTAGACGAGTGTGAAGCAAATACCTTAAACAACCAACCATCCGTCGGCATTCTGTTGCATCCACCGGGTTCCCCTCTTCATCGTTGTGAAGTCGCACTCTTTGTTCCAACGATATTTTTGTGGCATTGCACTCCGCCATACCAAACCAGGCCAACACTTTCTTCGTATATCCACTTTGTTTGAGATTAATCCGATCTTCCTCTTGTGCCACCTCAATTCCAAGGTAGAATGTGAGTAATCCAAGATCACTCATCTCAAATTCGGACATCATTTGCCTTTTGAACAGATTGATCTCATTTTGATTTTTTCCTGTAACAATAAGATCATTAACATAAACACCAACAATTATACCTATTTTCCCTTCCCCTCGGGTGTACACAGCTTGATTTTGTTTGCATTTAGTGAAACCGAGCTCCTTTAAACACTTATCTAATCGAATATTCCAAGTTCTTAGGGCTTGTCGAAGTCCATACAATGCCTTGTTCAACCTATACACAAGGTGTTCTCTATTTATAATGACGAACCCTTCAGTTTGTGTTACATATATTTCTTCATCGAGATATCCATTCAAAAACGCTGATTTTACATCAGGATGGTGTACCTGCCAACCACGATTAGATGAAATTAATTGCTAAGATACCACGTACCGTGTCTGACCTTGCTACCGATGCAAATACCTCATCGTAATCCACACCATGTTGTTGGACATATCCCTTTGCAACAAGTCTTGCCTTGTATTTAATTATATCACCATCAGCACTCCTCTTTATTTTGTATGCCCATTTTACTCCTATGGGTTTGTGCCCTGCTGGTAATTTCACGAGATTCCAGGTTCCATTCTTCTCAATTGCTTCAATTTCCTTAACCATTGCTTCCTGCCATACATATTGTTCAGCCGCTTCATGGTAGTGTAAAGGCTCCTCAGTTTCAATAAATAACAGTTGGTCATTTATTTCATCTTCCTCATGTAGTTCAATTCTGGTTGTGTTGCGCATAATGTCACTCATACGCCTTGTCCGTACAGGGGTATCACGGGTACTTTCTGAGCCTTCGGAGGATGGTGTGCTAGGTACATTTGTTTGTGGCGTGGGACTTGAGAAATCTGTCTGGTTCGACTCCTGTTCAAAAAACACATTCTCATTCACAAGGAATTGAGGGCCTTCACTTGTGTCTATTCCAATTCCACTTAGAATTTTCTTCAAATTTTATATCTCGACTTACAATGATTTTTCTTTGTCGTGGATTGTAGAGTCGGTATGCTTTGCAACCATCTTCAATTCCGAAATGCACCATGGCCTCACTTCGGTCATCAAGTTTCTTTTGATGCGGCGTTGCTACCTTAGCATGAGCTATACAACCGAATACCCTTATATGAGCAAGTTTTGGCTTCTTATTTAACCAAGCTTCAAATGGTGTTATTTCTCCAAGAATCCTTGTTGGCAGACGTGATGGAGTATATTCCCGTATACCCCATGGGTATCATAATCGCCGGTATAAAATATCACGGACGCATTCTGAAGTATGCAAAATATTAAAGTCCACACTCCAAGGCTCAGGAATCAATCGAACTCAACGAATGACAAGGCTTGCAGAGCCCGATCCCGACCCCGAGGTCGGGAAGACATCAGGCTCAGGGATCAACCGAACTCGGCAACTTATGAGCCCGACCTCGATGCATCCAAGGTCGGGACCAGGTCTGGCCCCGGAAGTCAACGACAGTCAAATAGTTGGTCAACGACAGTCAAGCATCAGACAGTCAAACACCTGGGAGGTGAGTCCTCCCATCACGACCCCGAACTTCCGAGCTCCCAGGTACCGACCTCAGCAAACCCTGAGGTTTGGATAAAGCATCATGGACTTAGTCAAAATCTTCAAGGATCTACCCCTCAAGGAGAGACCTCCACGTCACCAGGGAATATTCTCAATTACCCATGCTTAACCACACAAGTTTTCTGGCAGCAATTCTGTTAGGAGCACACTCCAATTAGCCAACGGTTGAAGACTCCCTCTCCGATCAGCTTTACACGTGGCTGCTCCCCATCGAATTAGGCTGTTAGTTTGTTAGAGTAACTTTACACGTGCCGCCCTCCTATTAGACTAGCATCTTTTTACTTGGGCACCAAGTATTTCCTTTTCTCTTTAGTATAAATATCACCTTCCAACTTGTGGATAGGGATGCTTAATTAATCGCACTCTGAATCCTATACTGGAGATCGGCAAACCAGTTCACTCTCTCCATTTCTTCTCTCATTTTCGGTGGATTCTGTCCACCCCTGGTCCGACGATCATCCATCAAGACGGTTCCAAAGATAAGCAGCGTGCCTCACAGCCTCCCCCCAAAATTCACCCGGAACATCCATGCTTTTGAGAAGAGACCTTGCCATTCCCATCATTGTGCGGTTCTTACGTTCCACAACGCCATTTTGTTGTGGAATATTAATATGCACTAATTTGTAGTGCATAAATGTATCTTTTTACGTTTGATTTGTGTGGATTGTTTACCATTTTATTTAGTTTGTAAACATTTGTGTGATTTTAGTTGTAATTGTATCTTAGTTCTCATTTGTAAGTTGTAAAGTAGAGTTAGGATTTATGGTGTTGGAAAGGAAGAATTTGAAGTGAAGAAATATGATTATTGGCTGCCCAGGACAATCACCCCGGTCGGGTGGGGTATTGCACCCGGTCGGGTGAGACATTGAAAAGCGAAGGTGGCTGGAAACTACAATCACCCGGTCGGGTGAGGTATTGCACCCGATCGGGTCTGACTTGACCCGAGACATTTTAACGTGCCGAAGATCACTAGAACGTGGAGGATATCTGATTTTGACCGGACTCGGTCGGGTAGGCACTTAACCCGGTCGGGTACCCGGACTAAGGTGTTGAAAAAAACCTATAAATAGCACACTTTTTCTTCACAAATAATCATCCCTTCTTCCATACTCTTAAGCTCAGTTTAGAATAGCATTTCTTTATTTTTTTAGCATTTAGTCTCCAAATGAGGAGCTAAACTCTCATTTCTTGGTGTTGCTCTTGAAGCTTGTTGATTATTAAAGTTGTGAGTTACTTTCTTAACTTTTTCCCTTGAATATTAATTCTTCCCTTAATCTACCTATATATTAATGTTGGGGAGTGTTGCTAAGATGACAATTAGTTAACATCTCGACATTAGTTATAGTAATATTTATTTTCTTCCTCTATATATTAATATTGGGGAGTGTTGCTAAGATGAAAATTAGTTAACATCTTGACATTAGTTATAGTAGGATTTATCATCTTTAATATTCTTTGTTGAATATTAATTAATTCCTATTCATATTTCATATTAATATTTTGAACATTACTTAATGGATCAACTAGTTTTGTTTCATATATTAATTATTACTAGAAACGATCGGCGAACCGATGGTTAATCGTTGATGGTTTCACAAGTAAGTAACTTCGGTTTATTAATGCACGGTCGTGGTTAATAAACTTAAGAGGGATTAATTTCGTTGGTTAAACCAAAACCATTGTGTTGAGGTTATCAATCTCAATTGATTTCATCAAGGAGTTAAGAGATTAAATGCTACTATCAAGTCGGTATATGGCGATGTTCTATACTTGACTAATATTAAGAGTTATTAATGAATGGTCGTTGTTAATAACTACCCTCGATGAATCGGATATACTCCTTGATTGAGAGGGAATAAGTTATAGATATAACAATGATCGACTAAAATATATCAACAAGTGGAAAGTAGCCATGCCAAGTCCTTTTTATCTTTGAATTAAATCTCATATAAGTCGTTCATCTTCGTATTTAATTAAATTAAATCACTCAATCTCAAAACCCCCCTTATTTACTAGTTTTACTAAAAAGAGAATTATTCCTTTCCCTGTGGATACGAACTCTACTACGCTATACTACGTATTAGTGCTAGTATTGAATTTATTTTGACGCACCGTGACAAAGTGCACGTCAAGTATATGGCGTTGTCACATGTCTCTGGATGCCCTCATCTTCACAAAATTTGGTGAATTCATTGGATAGAAATTCGCCACCCCGGTCGGTTCTCAACGTCTTCACCCGACACCCGCTCATATTCTCCACTTGTTGCTTGAATTTTTTGAAGAGACCAAACACTTGATCCTTCAATCTAATTACAAAGACCCACGTCCATCTAGAATAATCATCAACAATAAGCATGAAATAATTGTTACCGGCCAGAGTGGATGGTGTAATTGGGCCACAAAGATCAGCGTGTAGTAATTCAAGAGGCTCCTTTTCATGATAGTTTGTTTGTAATAGAATGGGTTGTCGGGTTTTTTTCGCAACTAAATATCCTTTGCATAATTTGTTTGGTTTGCTGATCAGTGGAACTCCAATTGCCATCTCCTTCTGAGCTAACATTTTAATAGAGCTAAAATTAACATGTCCAAGTCGGGCGTGCCACAGCCAAGCCACATCTATGATATTTGCGAGTAAACAGACCGGATCACATGAAGCTATCAAAGCCTTGCATAACCGATTTGGAAGCCTTTTGACTTTAATGAGCAGGGTTCCAAACGAGTCATACATCCACAAATGGTCCCCATTTATAACAATCTTGTTTCCCCCTTCGGCTAGCTGTACACAACTTATGATATTATTGCGTAGGGCTGGAATATAATATACCTCGGTGAGGAGCCGTTGTTTGCCTCCCTTGAATTGAAACAATATAGATCCTTTCCCTTTGATTTGCACTCCATAACCATCACCAAACTTCACAAGCCCCAATGATCGATTCATCTGGATCACGAAAGTGTTTTCGCTCCCCGAAAATGTGATTACTTGCGCCGTTGTCAAAATACCATGTGTCCTCGCTCTCGCCTTCTCATTCATTTGGAGTTGTTGTTGCAGATAAAAGAAGTACAAGATCCTCTTCTTGAGTACTCACCAAATTTACTTCTGCTTCCCGCGGTCTGCTCCAACATTTGGATGCGTAATGACCCATTTTGTTGCAAATGAAACATTTGATGTGGCTTTTATCACGAACACCACCATGTTCACTTCTGGTATGACCCCTTCCATGACCTTGTCCGCGTCCACCCTGGCCACGGTTAACATTCCATCCACGATAATTTTCTTCTTTATGGTTTGAGAATCCATTATCTCCCTTAGATTTCTGTCGTGCCTCCCATTCAACTTGGGTAAGTAGAAGTTGATTGTCCCCATTACATGTCGGTGCATGTAATCGTGTCCGCTCCTCAAATGCTTTTAGACGCCCAACTGCCTCCTCAAAAGGCATGATCTCAAGGTCACAAAATTGTTCAATACCTGCAATAACTTGAAGGAAATCGGCGGGCACAATGTTGAATAAATTTTCACCATCTGTGATTCTTCCAGCGTTTCTCCCAAATTTGTAAAACTTGTAGAGATTCCGTTCAATCATCCAGCATACTCGTCCAACGTCTCCCCCTCCTTCATTTGCATCACATCAAATTCACTCTTTAGTGTCTGTAGGTGTGCCGTCTTGACACGATATGCCCCAATGAATTTGGTTTTAAGACAGTCGCAGACATCTTTTGCCGTCTTCTTCGTTGCAACTTGTAGGATGAGATCTTCTGGGAGCACCTGTAGAAGAAATGCTTTGGATGTTTTTTCCTTTTTTATGTCTACGTCCTCTCCTTCTTTTGGCTCTATAGCCTCCCAGACACCTTAGGTGTAACGCCCCTCTCAGGGTTAAAGGAAACGTTACATAAACTTACTACTTTAAAAAAAAACTGCAATATAACGGCCGTTTATTTAAGAAATAACCCTGATAAAAATCTCAAATATAACAAAATTATAGCTCCAAATAAAAACTCAAAAAAATTCTAGTTATCACCAGCAAATGTGATAACCACCTGGATCCAGGAATTTACTAAAACTTCAAAACCTCAATTATATAAAGTAATAATAATCTTTTTATTCTCACTGAAATACTGGAGTAAAATAAAACTAGCTAGAAGCCGCCAAGGTCGTTCCTGTTAACTCATCTTGGCACGCGTTCCACTCCCTCATCATCTTCCTAGGCCTTGGCCTTACCCTTAGTATCTGTACATGCGAAGAAAGAAAACTGATAAGCTTTACGCTTAGTAAGTCACTATGGATCCACAAAAAATATCTGAGAAGTCTATGCTAATTTATCAATAGATAAATTTAGGTTATAAGCATGCACTAAACAAACAACTAACAAGTAGCTTCTCAAATAAATTCTGAGAGAGATCCCAAAAGAAATATTTTCTAAAATAATTTCTCAAAACTGCTAGAGAGATCTCAAAATTTCTTTCTCAAAACATCTCTGTAAAACTTTCTGAAAGAGATCTCAAAAACAATTTTCTGTAAAACTTTCTGAGAGATCTCATAAACTTTACCGTAAAACTCTTTGTGGCTAATTTTAACTGTGGGCCCGTGATATGTACTCAAAGGCGCCAATCCGAAAGCTCAGGGGAGCGACCCACTAAACATATCGGACTCTCTGAAACTGATAAACCGATAATCTGAGGGAACTTGTTCCCGAGTACATATCACCCGATCTTTCACTTTAAATATTAGTTCTTTTTATAGTGACGTTTGGGTTAAAAACATCATTAAAATCTTGAAATAAAGTACTGACACAATCTTGACTATGCCAGATAATAAACATAACTTAATACAACAATTACAATAACTCATCAAATAATTCACCAAGTTCACATAATAGCAAATAGTCTAAAATCATCTACTAAAAATCAATCAGACTTCTTTCTTTCATTTGGTTGAACAAACATGTACAGGTGGTAGTGAACTTACCTGTAAGGAGCTGAACTCGAAATACGCAAATAAATGTGGCACCTTGATAACGTCTTCCGGTAAGCTCTTACTTGAAATCTTTATTTAGAATTAACAAAATTTAGAATTGTTGTCTATGAAGTCAAATAGCTAAAATTTCAAAATTTCAATTCCTACTGTTAAAAGCACAACGTGATCTCCCTGTTAACTTTAAACAAACGTCAGATTTTCAAAAAAAACCATTATGTCGCAGTTCATAACACCTTCAAAATAAATACTAGCATAGAAGTCAGTTCTCTCTTAATAAACAAATACTGCTGCTGCAATACTTATGAAGAGTAACTTGGGATTAATAAGAAGAGTTTGTAAATTTTGAAATCTATTTGCAGCAAACGTAAATCCAGATTGTTCATTGTTACAACCCCAAAGCCGTACAACCTGCCCTCAGAATTAAAATACACACAAGCAGCCTGGGTTTTTAATATGACAACAACATAATCAATTTAACCTTAGGTAAAAGGCTGCTCTTAGAAAAATTTAATGCAGTACAAAAGAAAATGTAGCTACTGGCCTACTACCCATTCACTAAAAAGAACCTCCAATCTAAGAACTAAATAAAATACATCTTACAAACTCCCTATGAGAATAAACCGTATTATATTAGGATATCAGCTCAGGAAAACTTATATGAAACCTACCCAACTGCAGCAGCAGAAGCTTGTTCAACACTTCGACCTAAAAGAATTATATTGCTAGCAATCTCTTTAAATGGGTGAAAACAAGAAATAGCAGCAGAGAAACTTTTGAATTTTATACCAAGAGGTAAAACGATCAACCCCAAAAACTAGGAGGATTACAAAATCTAATAAATGGTGCTCTCACGGTAGAAATAAAACATATAGAGGACTGAGAAGCTTACCCAGCAACATCGTGATCTGTAACCCAAATAGAAGCTCTTGATTAAATTTTCGGAGAAGTGTTTTGAGAGGAAGAGAAAAGAGCACTGCTGCTACGGGAAGAAATATTGACATATGCGGATAATTTTAGGGCTAAAAACATATACTTAGTATATATAAACTTATACACGTATACTCCTAAATCCTAATGGGCTTTTAAATAATCATTAGAATACTTATTTGACCCAATTAACTGATCTGAGTATCTGATTATCTCTTAAAAAATAACACTAAAAGTTTTTTTTTCCATATAAACCGATTAAGCTTTAAAACATTACTTATTTCTCCACTTAAAATTATTAGAGCTTACCGGTCAACGTTACCTGCCAGAACAACACGTGATCACACAATAAATCACATTAGTCACAGAAGAACTTATTTAGTTGACTAGAATAAATATTAATATTGATTAATATAACTAGCTCATAAAAATCGGGGTGTTACAACCCCTCCCACCTTATAAAAGTTTCGTCCTCGAAACTTAGAACAACTCGGGATAACGACGTCTCATGTCGTCCTCCACTTCCCAAGTAGCTTCTTCAACTTTCTGATTTCGCCACAATACTTTTACTAGAGCTATCTCTTTATTCGAAGACGTCTAACCTCACGATCAAGAATTTGTACTGGCTTCTCCTCGTAAGATAAATCTTTTTGCACTTCTACTGTTGGGGGTATCAAAACATGCTCCGAATCAGTAAAGTATTTTCGCAGCATCGAAACATGGAAGACATTATGAATACCAGAAAACTCTTCAGGTAGCGCGAGCTCATAAGCCACCTTCCCAACTCGTCTAGTGATCTCATATGGTCCGGTGAATCTGGGGCTAAGCTTTCCTTTCTTCCCAAATCGCATCACGCCCTTCATCGGGGCTATCTTAACGAAAACAAAGTCCCCCACTTCAAATTCTAGAGGTCTCCTCCGAACATCTGCATAACTTTTCTGTCTACACTGAGCAGATTCTATCCTTTGTCTGATAGTCATAATAGCTTCTGAGGTCTCATCAATCAGCTCAGTCCTTCCTTGTAACTCCTCTTCTAGAACCTTCTTTTCTCCTGTTTCATACCATGATATGGGAGATCTACACCTCCTCCCATACAACTCCTCATATGGAGCCATGCCGATGGTTGCTTGATAACTATTATTATAAGCAAACTCTGCCAAACTAAGGTATTTTGCCCATCCTCCTTGAAAATCTAGAGCGCATGCCCGTAACATATCCTCTAAAATCTGATTTATCCTCTCTGTCTGGCCATCTGTCTGAGGATGAAAAGCAGTACTAAACTTCAACTTCGTGCCCAATGATTGTTGTACACACTTCCAAAAGTGAGACGTAAATCTGGAATCTCTGTCTGAAATAATACTCTTCGGAACACCATGCAATCTAACAATCTCCTGAATATATATTTTTGCCAACTTCTCCAAAGAAATACTTGCTGAAATTGGGATAAAATGAGCAGATTTAGTCAATCTGTCCACTATAACCCATATAACGTCATAACCTCCAGTTGTGTTCGGCAAACCCATAATAAAATCCATTGATATCTCATCCCATTTCCACTCTGGAATCTGGATAGGCTGAAGTTCTCCACCTGGTCTTTGATGTTCAGCCTTAACTTGTTGACACGTCAAACATGCCTGAACGAACTTTGCAACATCTTTCTTCATCCCTGACCACCAAAAGCTTTCCTTCAAGTCGTGGTACATCTTGGTCGAACCAGGATGCATAGTGAATGGTGTCTCATGAGCCTCCTTCATAATCTGCTTCCTCAACCCCTCGATGTCCGGGATGCACAACCTTTTTTGGAGTAATAATCTCCCATTCTCATCCAAACGAAACTCAGGACATTTTCCCTCCTTGACGCACTCCTTCAACTTAACTAACTCGGGATCAAGTTCTTGCTTCATAGCCATGTCCTCAAATATTGATGGAGTCACTGTCATAGCTGCTAGTCGCCCACCTATAATCTCCAACTCAAAATCTTCAATTTCCTTCCTCAGCCTTGGATCCATTACCATCATGGACATTACTGTTGCAGAAGACTTCCTACTAAGTGCATCTGCTACCTTGTTGGCTTTCCCCGGATGATAAAGGATCTCACAATCATAATCTTTCACTAGCTCAAGCCACCTTCTTTGCCTCATGTTGAGGTCCTTCTGTGTGAATATGTATTTTAGGCTTTTATGATCAGTGAAGATCTTGCACTGGACTCCATACAAGTAATGTCTCCAAATTTTCAACGCATGTATCACCGCTGCCAACTCCAAGTCATGTGTAGGATAATTCACTTCATAATCCTTGAGTTGCCGAGACGCGTAAGCAATTACTCGTTCATTCTGCATAAGAACTGCTCCAAGTCCCATCTTCGATGCATCTGTGTAGATAACAAACCCTTCTTTTCCTTCTGGGAGTGCTAAAACGGGTGCAGATGTCAACCTATCTTTCAGCTCTTGGAAACTCTTCTCACAACGATCAGTCCACTCAAATTTCTTACCCTTACGGGTCAAGGTAGTCAATGGAAGAGCTATGGCAGAGAAGCCTTCCACAAACTTCCTATAATACCCCGAAAGGCCTAAAAAACTTCGAACTTCTTTCGCATTCTTCGGCCTGCTCCAATCTCGGACAGCTGCTACTTTCGAGGGATCCACCGAAACCCCCTGCTTTGAAACTACGTGGCCAAGGAATGCTACATGATCAAGCCAGAACTCACACTTTGAAAACTTAGCATATAGCTTATGTTTTCTAAGCGTCTCCAATACTTCTCTCAAGTGTTCTTCATGCTCCTTCTTGGACTTCGAGTAGATCAAAATATCATCAATGAAAATAATGACAAACTTGTCAAGAAACTCCCTGAACACTCTATTCATCAAATCCATGAACGCCGCTGGAGCATTAGTTAAGCCGAAAGGCATAACCACAAATTCATAGTGTCCATACCGCGACCTGAAAGCCGTTTTTGGGATGTCTCCTTCTTTGATTCTTAGCTGAT